GTTCGCCTCCCCTTTGTGCGACGAGTGCGAATATTTTTGACTTGGGACTGTTTGTCTCGAAAAGCAATAATGTAAATAATCCAGAGACGATGGAGAAGCTGCTGCTCAATCCGTGGACCCCTCCGGCTAACTATGATTATCCAGCCACAGGGAAAAGGAATCTGAAGTTCCAACCTCACTGGGTAGATCGTTACCCATGGCTTGTTTATTCAGAGAAGCTTCAAGGAGCGTTATGCAAATATTGCGTAGTCTTCGCAAGCGAGTGTGCAGGAAAAGGGGAGCACCAGCGCTTGGGCTGTTTTGTAACTAAGGAGTTCACCAATTACAAGAAAGCTATGGACGCCTTTAAAAGCCACGCATCCAGCAGTTATCACGCCATGTAAACAACGCTATCGGAGAACTTTTTAGCAGTCCGGTACCACTCACAGCATGACATCTTAACACATTTTGACCACGGCCTTAAAAAGCAGGCGGAAGAAAACCGCAAGAACTCGCTGCCAATAATAGAAACAATCCTTTTCTGTGGCAGGCAAGAAGTACCGCTTCGCGGCACAGACGACTCTGGTCCGATAAATATGTCTGAAGTGCTGCCATTAAAAAAATGATGGAAATTTCCGCGCACTGCTTAGATTGAGAGCAAAATGTGGAGATGCCGCCTTGAGAGCTCACATGCAAACATCTCCGGCGAATGCGCTGTACACGAGCCCAAAAATTCAAAATGAGTTGATCACCCTCTGTGGTAAAATCATACAAAGAAAGATAGTGGAAAACGTCAACTCAGGTTCGTGTTTTTCAGTTGTAGCTGACGAGGCCACTGATATATCTCGCACCGCCCACATTTCCCTATGTGTAAGGTACGTTGGACACGACACGTCGGGAGTGCCCATTCTTAAAGAAGATTTTGTCGATTTCGTTCCCGTGTACGATCTCACTGGCAAGGCGCTGGCGAGCACAATCCTGAACAGCCTTAGAGGTCATGGCTTTGACCTGAACCTACTTTGCGGGCAAGGATACGACGGCGCGGCATCAATGAGCGACCACCTTAACGGTGTTCAAGCCTTCATTCGTCAAACAGCGCCCAAAGCGTTGTACGTGCATTGTAGCGCCCACTCGTTGAACCTTGCTCTGCTTCACGCATGCAAACTCCCCAGCATCCGCAACTGTTTGGAAACTGTATCCTCAACCTGTACGTCTGTGAGAGCTTCGCCACAGAAGACGAACCAACTGCGAGACAAAGTAGAAGATTTAACACAAGAAAAAGAAAATCAGTTCTCTCCTTTTGCCAAACAAGGTGGGTAGAGAGTCACGATGCACTTCAGCGTTTCCTTGAACTGTACGTGCTTATTGTACAATTCCTCGAATATTTGGAAGAAGAGGCCGCGTCATCTGATACTTCATCAAAAGCTTCTCAACTGCTCAGTGCCATTACGAAGCCCGAGTTTGTTGTTTCGCTTCAGATCTGTAGCGACCTCTTCTCTTTGACACTGCCACTTTGCAAGTTTCTTCAAAAAATTGACTGTGACTTGGCTCAAGCGTGCGATCACGTAAAGAATGTTATAGACGTTCTTTCCACAAAAAGGGCTAGTGCGGAAACGGAATTCAATAAGATTTTTCCGAAGTCGCTCTCTTTGCTGAAGATCACAAATGTAGATATGGCCCTATACCACGCATCACTGGAAGGCAGATGCAAAGAAGCAACGTACCTTCTGCTACTTCCGAAAAGTACTACCAGAAGAATGTGTATTTGCCTTTGCTGGCTGACTTCGAAAATCAATTAAGAGACCGGTTCGATGCCCATAAGAGGGTCGTGGTTGGCCTTGACATGCTGCTGCCGGAATTCTGCGCATCGGCTAGCCTTTCTGATATTGATGATGCAGTGCAGTTTTACCTTGACGACATTCCTTCGGCTAATGTCATCGAAGCAGAGTTCACACTGTGGGTGAACAAATGCTGCCAGATCGAAGAAAAGAATCGCCCAGCTTGTGCTTTACAGGCCTTAGAGATGTGCAACCGCGACTTTTTTCCGAACATCCATAGGCTACTTTCTATCCTGGCGACTTTACCCGTGTCGACGTCTACACCGGAACGGACTTTTTCCACAATGAGAAGGCTGAAGAGCTACCTTCGAAATCATATGAACAACGACAGATTGGCCGGACTAGCACTGCTCAGCATCCATCGAGAACTTCATGTGACCCCAGAACAAGTCCTCACAGAATTTTGCAAGTTGCCGAGAAGGAAAAACTTCCTCGTTTAAACTTCCCTCCATGTTTCAAGAGTCGATTAAAAGCTAAACCCAGCTAGCCCAAGCTTCAACCCTTCTATCCTTTCGCAATTACGAGGAAAGTATCCAGCAAGCAGAAGTGCGAACGGTAACAAGAAGATCGGAATGTCGGGCGACTTGTTTGTTTGCTTGCATACATGTTGTCACGGACTGCCATTTTTGCGACCCGGCGTAACGGCAAATTGACGGGCGCCGCACTCCCCCGCTGACCGGTGGAACCGTTCGCTCATGAAAAGACTGGCCTTTAGTGCAGGGAAGTACTGAATGGGGTGTTCTTCTTCAAACGTTAGTCGCCGATGTTTGATCCTTTGTACCTACGGCGGCGTCGGCAGGGTCGTCAAAGGCCGCGATGCACCCCGAACTAGCTGTAGACTGCAAGACACACCAGCTGAAACCAAGGAAACTGACCATTCCCACGGGCAAAACTGCTTGTGGACAAGCCGTATGAGAGAACCCCAACAGGTTTTCACTCTCGCTCAGTTGAGGACCCTCTCCTAATTAAAAAGAGACGTGGTTATTATATTTTTAGGGCGGAGTTTCTAACAATGAAACGTGCATGAGTGGGCCCATGTAGAGGTCTCTTTTCCCCCAGGACGAGAATCAGGGGACACGGAGGTCAATTTAAGAGCATAATTTCGCCTTGCTAAGCAGTCTAGTTGCTGACCAACATGGTGTAGAAGGAGATCAAGAAGTATCCCTTAAGTGGTTGTGGCTCCGTGTCGGCTGGCCACCTAAACTTAGCCATTCGTCTAGTTGTGACGCGAAATTAACGTCTGTAACGTAGGCATCGGTACTTGAATCTCGAGTAAGCTCAACCTGCCCGAGATCGGCTTCAAGCACTAGCCTCCCGGAAACACCAGCGCTGCAACACTGCCGACATCGCAGTTGTGCCAGAACTCTCTGACTTCTCGCATCCGATCGTCGTGGACTCAACGTTGCCGGTCATCAGAGGTATCCCTTCACCTGTTTATACCTTCGGACTTTCTCATCTGTAGTTTTATTGTTGGTTAGTTTTTTGTAGTTTGTAATACTTCTCTCTTGTAAGCTGATTTATTGATTTTATATGTATTTTGTTAGTTGGTATTAAGTGTTGTACTAGATTCCTCTGCAATATTCCTAGATTCCTCTGCAGTGCTGCGATATCACTAGAGTTTTGTTTTCCCCACATACGTCTCTGATCTCTTCACTGTCTCTGCTTACGTACAGAACGACCTAACCTGCTTCCATTCCCGTCGCCGACTTCGCGCTGGCGACGCTAGAGTGGCAGCTTGTAACACATACATACCGTTTTTGTACCGCGGTTACATTGTGTTACTTCATCAGGAGCCGTTGGTCGCGGCCCCGGCTTTGGTGGTGCTATTGTCCAAACTTATTTCTTGCTTTAACCAGAACTAGAGGTTGACATACCAATTTCTTTATTTGGGTACAAATAATTGAAAAGTACCATCTAATTATTACAAGTAAGCGATGTACTTGTTTTATTCATGAAAATAAGCCAGTATAAATCTTAAAAAATGGCAGCCGTTCTACACGCAACCCCCCCCCCCCCCCGGAAAAAATTCCTGGGTACGGCTCTGGTAGAAAACATCGACGCTGCTAGAGGCACGTTCATTCTTGCACATTCGTTTCATCGACTCCGTCACACCTTGTCCCAAGCCCGCAGTCGCACCATGCCAACACTTGCAAATTAAAGCACCGAGACGATCGGTCACGGCCATGACTTCGGCATGCTCGCATTTTAACGCGGAAGACGCTTCACTCCCGCAGGATAGCGCCGTCTCAGTATGGAAATACGGCTACAGAGAACACACTACCATGCGAGTATCTGAAGCACCAAAGAGAGCTCGAATATTTATCTACGTTTGCATAGCAATAGCACACATTCGTGGACGAAAGCGACGTGCATATCCGCTTGTTCGAAAGAGCCAATTCTGTCCCATGAATAAGTCTGTCTGTGCGATTTCAGGCGAAGTAGGCCCGAAGTCGGAGCTAAATGTATTGTAGTAATGTGTATTGTGGTTTTGGGACTTACTGAAACATATTATCCAACTACACAGCCCTCGAGTTGGAACACATTCTATGTTTACGTCCACAACATTAAGCTTCAACCCATATGTCGCCTTTATACAGCGACACGATAAATACACGCAACGGATTGATTTGTAAACATGGCATCATGTGCAACATTTATTAGTTGGACCTAAAGTATCAATGCAAAGGAACAGAAACCCCGCCGAGGGTGGTTGTTCAATGCGATAATAAAGTTAAGTCGCACGCATACAACGGAATCTGCTCGCCCAGCGCAGTATCGGTCGGAAATCATCGGGGAAGGTCTTCATTTCACGTTGGACAAAAACAGTTGATAGGTAAATCCCCGACGAATGAACATGATTATCATTTTAAAAAAGTAACAGTATACTTGAAAAAACACTGAGGGAAAATAAAGAGCGCGATTCACACCGAAGTCGGACACCAACGACACTGAGCCACGAAATCTACATGGTAGGGCTGTCGCATACAGTGACATTATTTTCTTGCAGCATTACTTAGAAAAAAGGGGAAAAAGTAAGACATTCGAGAACGGGAATTCGTACCGACGACCTGCGTCTCGACCGCTTCTCCAACTGTGCGTAAAGCCACTACGCCACCAGAACAGCTAGACAGGGGTGTTGTTTTGTGCTATGCTGGGTACTTATGAACAATGCCCATAGGCCAGTTCTGAGCGGTAAAAAAACATGCTTCGTTTATTGAGTGCTTGTATTTAAAGGTAGTAAGAAAAAGAGTGTTGAAGACTGTAGAGTGTGCACGGCGATAAGTGCCGGCATCGAGGGCAACCTCACAGGTTTTGATTGCCATATTTATACACCTTGATTCATTTGGAATAGTTTAAACACAAAACAAAACAATAAAAATTGGATGAGTGGTAACTCGTTACGAGCGCCGCACGAAGTTATCACCATACGGGGGCTTTTTGTCTAGCTATTCCAGGGGCTTTCTGTCTCGCGTAGATCTTCTAAGCCCCTGGGCTGCCATGTTCGTTCCTGCCTGTGGCATTTGACCTCGGCTAGGGTCCTCATTGTCAGATGCTTCATCGGATGCATCGTCCTCAGAAGTACTAATAAATGGCTCTCTCGTTGCCAACAGATGCTGTTGGTTTCGTCGAATCACACTGTCCTTTTCTGTCTTTACCACGTAGGACCTAGGCCGTGCGCCGCTGATTACTCTTCCTTTGGTTTTCCATGAGTCTCCCTTGACACGTACGGTGTGCCCTTTCTGCAAAGCCTGAAGACGTGTCAACATTGTCGTCGCCCGCTGATGCTTTTTCACCCGCTGGCTTGTTGTCTCGTTAAAGTCGGGTGCATATTCATAGGCCTTGAAGCAGCTGGCCTAGGGATCGACCATCATCCAAAGAACTGAATCTGTAAACAAGTAATATGAGCCAAACATCATTCTTTCTATTGGTTGTTTCCTTCAGAATTCTTTTAACGACTTGTACATCTATTTCTGCTAAGCAATTGGAGCGCGGAAATATAGGACTTTAATTGGTGTGTTTGAAGTCGTATCTTTTTGCTAATATCGAGAATTCTTGACGGGTAAATTGAAGCCCTCCGTCAGTGAAAACGTCAATTGGATTGCCATACCTTGCAAATATTGTTCTTAACTTGTCAATGACTGCAGCATGCAACAACATGTCATGCAAAATTTGCGTTTCTGGAAAATTTGACAGAGCATCATATGCGCGGAGATAGGAGCTCCCGGCGTACTCAAACAGGTCTACGCCAACTGTGTCCCACGCGTGCTTTGGAACACGGCGAAGCATAAGAGGCTCACTTTGCTGTTTGTAGCAGTACTTTCTGCACACAGCGCAAGTGCTCACGACGTTTTCAATATCAGCATTCACGCCTGGCAGAGGAAAACTAAGAGCAAGTGCAATGTTGGGCCCGTGGTGGAAGACTGTCTTCGTGGAACAACCTGGTCGAAACCTACACTGAGGTACTTTGGAATGCGACTAGGCCTACGCTGGTAACAAGGAGGAAGTTGCCTAGAAAAAAGCGGGACATCCTGGTACTAGGCGACTGCCAGGTACCCGAAGAGCACCTTCGAGTTCTTCAAATGGGACCCAAGTTTTGCCCAGCATCTACCCCTGACGGATTTTAGAAGCTTGCCTTGACACGGTCAGTAGCACAGAGAGTTCGGGAAGCGGACAGTTTGCATTGTGTTAAGGAATGTGTTTCAACGGTGTCCAAAAAGAATGCGAGGGCAGGTGTACACTGTAGACTGGGCCCGATTCTTTCGTTCTTTGTGTCTAATAGCATGAGGCTTGTTACTGCTGATAAGGAAGGATGTTTTGTTGTTCTCTCTCAAGAACAATACTTATCTAAGGCGTCTCCAGCCATTAGGAAAAACTTTAAAGAAGTTTCTAATAAACCAGTTGAAGTTAAGAAGCGAGCCATCGCTTTGCTGGAAGCTAACGACTTGTGCCGACTTGCATCTTCAGTTAAGAAAGCGAAAAAAATAAATCGCATTAGAACCATTTTTTCAGCAAAAACCCATAAACCAGACATCCCCTTTCGAACAATTATTACGGAACGAAGCACATGGCAGCATGAAGTCTCAACGTATACCTCCAGTTTCACTTGTCCGCCTTGAATTTTCAGGACCCTTTTCTTGTAAAGGGTTCTGACCAGGTTGTTGACTTCTTAGCAACCAAAAAATTGTCTAACTGCAGTGGTTTTAGTATCGACGTTGTCGATTTGTTTTATTTGGTTCCTCACCCTGAACTCATGAAGATGCATCACGCAGGAAAATGACGAACTTTCATTCATAAACAAATGTAGGATGTCGGTTGAGAGCTTCATGGAACTACTCTTTTTTTATGTGAATTCTACTCTTGTATTATGGGGCAATAAGTATTACGTGCAAAAGTCTGGCATTTGTATCGGCTCTCGTGTAGCACCGGTCCTGTGCGATATATTCTTAAGTTATTTTGATAGGGCTTTGCAAACGGCACTAAGCAGCCTCGTAATTATTGTCTTCAGATATGTGGACGATTACCTTGTGCTCGTTCATTCACCTTCCTTGGATAAAAACCGGGACAAGATTATTGAAACCTTCGAAAAAACTGAATTCAGGAACAGCGCAACCTACAAGTAGTTACTTCGTAACTACGGAAGCGAAAAAAACAAGGACAGAAAAGAGCGCTGACTTTCAACACAGATTTAATATCGGAGTGATGTACATATATAGGCGAAAATTGAGAAAAAATGGGCATGCGTAGAAGCGTGCAGGAACAAACTGCGATACACTGTCAGCAAAACTCTTGTCTCCCGTTGAAAGGGCGGAGAAAACAAATGCATATGTAACTTAAAAAAGATCAAGATACGCAATCTCCTTTTTCAACAATGCAACCGATGGGCAACTTACACATTTACCGTCAAACTTGTTTATTTGATAAGCTTCAATTATCTCACGCGTGGCCTGTGAGTTGTGCTTGCCTAATACCTCGCAACGCTCAAAAACTGGCACGCAGCCGCAGTCGCTTCATAACTTCGAAAAAAAAAATGGGCATGGTTTACGTTTCACGCACGAGGTTCCCCATGATAAGATATTGCAATGTCTAGATCTTGAGTTATCTTTTCGCGCAAATCATCTATGCTGGTCCTACTCTCCCCGTTCAAAGAAACCAATCTTGGACTACTCTTCTTCGCATTCTAAAGTAGTAAAATCGGGTATTGCAATTAACCTTCTCAATTCAGCTGTAACAAAATCATGTTTCCACAAAATGGCGCGTGTTTTTTCTAATCAAATAACTAGGTTGCGAGAGGCAGACTTTCCGTCCAATGTCCTCATTTTCGCCGCTCAGAAGGTACTGCGTATGAGGAAAGGGAAGGGATGCCCCTTAAAGGAGGCAGATAAACGACGTAAGTTTGCGGTAGTCCCATATGTGCACGAATTTTCGCATAAGATAAAAAATGTGCAAAAAAATTCAACCTCGACGTTGTGTTTTCCGCACGTGGAAAACTGCAGCAAATGTGTTCTAGAATTGAATTACAAAGCAGAATGAAAGCAGGTCTTGTGAAGAAAGATTGTGGTGTCAAGCATGTCAATTCCTTCACCAAATGTCGATCTAATGTCGTTTACTGTATCCCACTGTCTTGCGGCAGGTTATACAATGGGCAGACTGGGCGCTGCTTGAATATTCGCCTGCGAGAACACTACAACGCGCTGAAATCAGCCCCGGGTTTACATTTATCCGCCCATTGCAAAAAGTGTGGCTGCTTACCTCATTTTTTGTGCACGTCTATTTTGTACAGCCATCATGACACGAAAACTAGAGAGATTGCGGAAGCCTTTTTTATTAAAAAGAAGATTGATAGTTGTGTTAGTTCACCGTCTATATCAATGTTAGATTGTGAAATATCGTTTCTGGACCACACCTGATAAAGGTGGAACCTTCTCCCCAGTTGTTTCCCTTTCTCATCTTTCTGGTATATAACTTCTCTGAATAAACTGAGTTTCAGTCTGCGCTTGTTTGTCTCTTCTCTTGTGTCCCGTTGGTTTGCGCTTCCAATTATTCCGTTATGAATTGTCTGGCTTCGCTAACGAGTGAAAAAACTGCTTACTGCATGCACTTCTACATCTTCGTTGTCCTCGCCTGTGCCAGTGTTGTCGACTCGAGCGCGAGACAAAATGTCTGCCAGCACCAGCTTTTAGCTTTTTCTCAGAATGAAAATCAGGTCAAAATTACATTTGAGCAAGCGAAAAAAAAAACATGGCCTTAAAACACGGCCCACCCATTAGACGAGCGTCTCCCATTCTATGCGACTACTGCATCCACATTCTCCTGGTGGATAAGATAGGTGGTTTAATGGTTCTACAGAGCTAAAATATTTTAAAATCAAAGTCGAGAGAAGTGATTTCTGCAGTCGATTCTCACTCCGATGTTTCATTGAGTAAACAGAAGTCTAATGCAAAAAAACTGTGTGACAAGCTTAACCTTTCCGATCAGGTTAAAGTGATCGATAAGAGCAAGAACAATTTTTCAAATGTCTTTTTTTTAGGGCAAAAATGCACAAAGTCTACGCATCTTTTCGGGCCATTGTATATAAATTTGAATCGGCGTAATCTCAAGATTTTAGTGACAGATGACCGTTTTATTGAGACTAATACTTACCAGGCTTTAGGCGTCTTGGCCACTTTCACTGAGAAGTGCTTTCAGGATTTATCGATTAGTATTGAAGATCTTTTTAGTCCTTTTCGTCATAATCTAAGCCTTAAGCGTGTTGAGCATTTTATTGACAAACACAGCTTCGTTGATTTCCAAAACTCTGTGAAGATTTTTACTGGTGGTGTCTTGCAACGTTTAGGCTTTTATTAGCCGTCTACCTATGTAATGTTTGAAAGGATCCCACACCTGCAGAAGCAAGGCGTATGCACTCATTCCTGCATTGCTCGGTTCTTAGAGACCACTTTCTTGCTCATTTCAGTAGTCAGATGAACGGCTCGCTTACCAATAAAAATGTTCTTAGCATATTCTGATATGTGGACAATTACATGATATTTTTCAATTGAGTAGCAATGCCAAGCAGAGGGCTACTTGACGTGCTTTTCAATGTGATGAGCCCATTAGACTAACCCATGAACTCCTGATAAATTATCAAATTAGATTTTTAGATATCTGGTTTCGTTTTACAGGTGTTAGCGGCTGCTGGTGCTATGAACCACGCACTAACAAACCACTCCTATTTTTCAAGTCCGCCCACTCTAAGCTTGTTAAACGAGATATTACCACGTTGTGCCTCAAGAGTGCTCTGGGAAAATCTTCCCCACACTGCACTTCTGAAGCATTTGAGCGTCAAGCTAAAAGGCTGACAGGTGCTGGGAATATCGAGCCACTCCTCGTTTCAATTGCAGAGAGCCTGCTCCAAGAAGGTGCGCCACCACACGCAAAATTGTGAAGCCATCACACCGCGCTGGCAGGAGGTAGCGTTGATACCTTATATGCACAAGTTGTCGCCCAACATGAAAAAGGTGACTCAGTAGTAAGACGTGAAACTCGTATTTTCAGCACCAAATAGGTTTTCTAAGCTCTGCAGGTTGACCGACCCGGAGGCGAAGAAGAAACAGGTCTGTGGCAGAAAGCACAGGACCTCTTTTTTATAATTGTGCAGAACGGGTAGTGTACGAAGTGCGGTAATGTGTACAATGGACAAACCGAGCACTGCACAAACAATTGGCTAAGAGTGCATGGAAAAAATTTGAAGAATGCGCATGACTGAAAAGATATTGAAGGTTTCCTTGCTAGCCATTGTATAACCTGCCAGGATTGTTTTCCCAATCAGCGCTCGTCATTTATGTTCTATCTATTGTGTGTTGCTTGCACTGTAGTGCACCAGAATGATTTATCGACGAAGCCAAC